AAATGTTTTTTAAATATTTTTTTAATATTTTTAAAAATATTTTTTCAAACATTGTGTGCTGATTGGGAACATATAATGAACATGTATAATTAATTTTCATCTTCATCTTTCTCTTCATTTTCACTGTCTTCATACGCGTCATCTTCCGTATTTACATGCGATGTCTGTAAATAAAAAAAGAAAAAATTTATTACGTTTCAGAAATTATAATAAAATTAGAATTCCAGGCTTAATTGGTTTTGTTGATGGAACAAATATAGCCATAAAAGTACCTGCTGTCCATGAAGGACTATACGTTAATAGGAAAGGATATCATGCACTAAACGTACAAATTGTAATTCCACTTTGTAATATAATTTTTAATTATAATAACTAAAATTCAAAAACAATTTCAACTTCAACAGCAAAATAATACAAATATTATCAATAGTAACATTAATATAATGTTAATGTATATATTTTTATATTATATTTTATTAGATATGTGATACGGATATGTATATTTTGAACATAGCAAGATATCCAGGCTCTACCCATGATTCCTTTGTATGAAGAAATTCTCATGTTAGGCATCTTCTACAGATGCAACATGATGCCAATAATAGTCATTGTTGGCTATTCGGTAATTATTTATTTAAACTATTAAAATGCTTATAAAATTAATAAAATGTAAACAGCAAGATTATTCAATTAATATAAACATTCTTTTTTTAAGGAGATTCTGGTTATCTATTGGAACCATGGTTGCTAACTCCTTTTTCTGAAGTGCAGCCAGGTACCCAAGAAGAAAATTTTAATCGAAGACACAGTTCCACGAGAAGTATTGTGGAACGTTGCATTGGCGTTATGAAAAAACGATTTCGATGTCTCCTTAGATATCGTATTTTAGAATATATGCCAGAAAAAGCAGGTTTAATTATAAATGCCTGTGCAGCACTACACAATATGTGCATACGCGCAAATATACCTCTTCCTCCAGAACCCGAAGAGGAAATTATGGCTATGGAAGATAACATGAACGATGAAGTAATACATCAGTCAATACCGGAAAGCCGAGCTATATTTAATGAAGGACAGAGGATACGTAGTCATCTAGCAGCTCGATTAGCAAATAATGAATAATTTTACACAAATATTCTCAACTATTTTTTTAAAGATTAATCAGTAAAAACTTTATTTTAAAAAACTCAAACTTTATTTTAAATTTTTTTTCGGCTTGAAAACTACATAATACCTTTAAATTAATTCTTATTATACATACCAACTTTGCATTTACAAATTGTTTGATATAGTTTGCAATATTTGTTAGCGCTAACGTTTGCCTCTTCATTTCACGCAACATCTGTACATCGATATCTGTGCATTGAAAGAACAAAGGTTATAAAAGAATATACCCTTACGAAAAAGACGCACGGGCTAGGGATTGTAATTCATGTAGTTATTGTAATCCCTCACGAAAATATTACATTCGAGATCGGAAGAGCACAC